CCCCCCCCCCATCTGAGTGAAAGTCTGTATTTGACAGGTGCGGTCGGACGTGTGCTTTGCCACACTCGAAACTGCAGAAGCGTGGCCTCACACACACTGACACATGCTGGTAAATCTCTGCAGCGAGGTCAGAAGTCCAACAACTACAATGTTTCACAATGGTATGAAGGGGTAATTCGTAAAATTACAACAAAATGCCTGCGTAAATCAGCATTATCTCTGGTTAGGTTGCTACAAATTTATTTCCTATTTAGACATGTAGCAGATGTGAATTGACTTGGAGTTACTCTATATTAATCTGACAGCCGTTCACTGTGCCTGCAGGTGCATAGTGGGGGTTTAAAACTTTTTCATTAAAAACAGATTAATACAGCAGTGAGCGTGAACCTAAACAGTAAAGCAACATCAGAGAAGAAGAGTGAGTTCACTACGAGCAACATTTTTCCCGTTAGCCATAGACTGATTTGATATAAACATGTTGATTACAGCAGTTGCAAGTAAATTCTAACAAGTTCTGGTGGCACGCCTGGTCTTGTAACACTGAAAAAATAATAATGTCCTCACAGGAACTTTTACCCAGATCCATTTAAATGTAATTCCCACTCATTCATCATGCATTATTTGATGCATTACAAGGTCTAATTCAGAGCAGAATCGCGTGTCACAGGTGAGTGTTGCACAAAGTCTGCCCAGCCACTTCTACAGGAGTAATGTAATGTGGTCACAGACCCAAGCTGTTCTCACAATAAATGCATTACCAGGTGAAATATTCATGCAGGTGGGTCAATGTGTTGCATTTTTAATGGAATATAATGGATTTATTACATGATATTAAGCTCTGTGATATCACTCCACCATCTTAGCATGCACCAAGGTTCACCAGTAAACACGCTTGATGGGCGGCACAGCTCATTCAAACACATAAAGGCTGAAACATGTTTGTGTTGTTTTGGTTTTTAATTTATTTTCAGCTATCATACAGGAAGTTAGACAACTGATTTATTTATGTGCTTCTCATATTGCAGAGTCTGTTGTCCTCCCTCTTCTTCTACTGTTGGATCTACTGAAACCCCTTTGTGAGTGATCTTATCCATACAGAATACACACGTACAGTATGATTCAGTGCTATTCAGCCTGACACAGAAGTCTATTTAAAATGTGTTGGTAGTCTCATCCCATGATTCACTGAGCGTTTCTTCTTCTTTCACCTTTATTCCACTTACTGTTTATATTTACATACCACTCTGCATTTAATCAGTAGTTATTATTAATCTCCTACTTCTATTGCTACTACCTGTAACTAGTTCTGCTGGCAGGTTCTTTCTGTTTAAGGGGAGTTTTTCCTTCCAGCTATCGCCAAAGGAGTTGCTCATAAGGGGTCTCTACGATTGTTGGGGTTTTTGACTGCACCTTGAGGCAGCTGTTGTGATTTGGCAGCATTATAAATAAAATTGAATTGAACTGAGATTAATTCAACTAAAGTTATTATTTTTGTTGATGTAGTAGTTACGATATTAAGATAGTTACAAACTGGTTTTACACCAGCCTGAGTTGAGTATTAACTGCAGACTTTTATGTTCACGTTTTGTGTCAGTGAGCGGGAAAGATGTAGAAATCATAGATGCGTCAGAAAAAATCGATGTAGCTGTCATGTGTGAGTAATTGATTCTGGTGTGGAAGAAGCACTGGTACGAAACTGCACAGCTTGCATGTTAAAGCATACAGTTCCCCTTCAATGAGCAACATTTCCAGTGGGTCAGATACATTTTAGACCTTAATTCAGCAAAAATGTTGGACGACTCCCACACCTGTGCTTCCATGCAGTGTGTGCATGTGATAAATGGCTGCACAAAAGACCCTGAAATGACAGAATCTAATCTTGGCTGGCGTTTAGTCCGAGAAATATTTCTATGGTTGATTTGTGTCTCTTTCTGTGGCTATCTATATGAGGAAATTTCCTCCCGACAGTTTCCCTCAATGTGCCCATTGTTAAGACTGTCAGAGGTGCTGCTATCTCGCTGCCAGGTTGAGAAAACGGACTTAGCCTTGACTGTACACTTTTAGATAGCATGACTGGACATCTTTGCACTTTGCTCTCCTCAGAGACTGTAAAACACTATATGATGGATTGCTTGGATTTCTACAAAGTGTTCAGGGCAGCTGAGTCTTTTGTGCCACCCAGTGGAGAGCACCCGGAACACAGGAGCAGCGCCTCTGTGTGTTTACTCATCGCCTCTACCTTTTTTGGCTGGAGGAAAAAATAAAAGCATGGACAGGTCAGCAGTCCCTCACAGGGCTTATACAGATTGACAGACAATCTTTCAGGCTCATGTTTGTACCTGTTGGCAGTTTTTAGTCTCAGCTCCTGACCTGAATGTCTGTGGACAAACACCCAGAGGAAATCCACGTGAGAGCACGCTGAGAACATGTCCTCTTAGAAAAGGCCACAGCGGGGATTCCGCCTATTGACTTTATTGTTAATTCACAGTCTTTGACCACTGAAACTTCACTTTATATCCTACTCACAGAAGAAGACTTTAATGCCATGAAGTATTTTTAACAGAAATCAGTGGGCTGAAGGTGCTGTTCTTGATTTTATTTTGATCTTTGGTTTAATCATATTTCATTCTAACAGGGTTTGGTGTCTATTAAGATTACAGTGCTGTGTCAGTAAGAGTGGGTGGTTTTATTTTATTTCAACCAGAGCAAATCAAATCTCAGCTTTAATATAGATCTCATTCCCAGGCTAATACATAGTCTGTCACTGTCATTAAAGCAGACAGAAGTCTTGCATATAAAACTTCACCTAACCACAAAAGTATAAGCATCAAATATAATTCAGCTACCTAATGCAAACATGTAGAAGTGCTGTATATATTACTGGAGTATTATTACCATTAGTGATCAGTAAAATGTTTTGTGCACATTAGCTTTTAAATTAAAAATGTAATATAGTAATAATAACAATGCTATAAAATGTGGTAGAGCAGAAGCATAAATATCCTGCCTCCCACT